ATCAGCAGCTCGGGAAAAATTCGTACGAATGCAATCATCCGTAAATGAAAATGTAATACCTCTTCAGCTCATACAAGAGATAGATACACGGTGGAATTCAACACATGATATGCTGGAAAGATTAATTCTATTACGTAGTCCTTTAAACATGTTACTTTATGATGAAAATATGCCAGAAAACTTAAAGGACGACGAATGGAAATTGATAGAAGCAATCGTCAATATCCTGCAACCAATCAAGGAAGCTACAAACATAATGTGCGGAGACAGTTATCCAACATTATCGCAGTATATCCCATTATATACTGGATTAATAAATGTGATTATGCAGGAAAGCCTGCAAAACGAAATAATCGCCGACATTTCCAACAATCTCTGCCAGGCATTAAAAGTAATTTTTCTTCTTTATTGTAACCCCATAGTTCGAAACAAAAGATTAACTTGTATTGAATGTCTTTATTTATAGGTACGATTTGAACCTCTGATAAGACATGATACATTAATTTTGTCGATGATGTAGAACCCACGCTTCAAAGATCTGAAGGATACTATGTTGCGTATAAATGATCTACACAATGATTCGGCTAAGTCTTTATTTTTGTTATGAACAGACAAGATTCGTTCACGAACTGCTCTCGCTGTCGTCGGTAAAACAAGTGTCCTCCTCGACGCTTCGTCTTTTCGAGGAGCTCGTCAAAACCCCGGAAGTTATCCTAATTGGTTAATGTAGCGCGTCGGCATTAACCAATCAGGCGCTTCCTAATCGTCCAATCACGCCACCTATTCCTTGCGCCCTTAGCGCGCTTCCTTCGGAACAGGGGTGTGACTTGGCGGGAGTGAGACCCATGGCGGAAGTTTGACAACGCAGCGGAATTTCCTCCGGACCCCCAAGGCGCATGACGTGGCCGATCGCCGGTCATCTGGCCCCGCTTCGCAACCCTTCGGAAACTCGAGGTTTATGACACCCGCATAGCTATTGAGGCCCCTAACGAAAGTCTCTGAAGGCAAAAATGTGCATCGTCTAAAACTGCAATTGAAAGCGGAACGAAAACGGTTTTCTCAAAAATAGCTCTGCTGGTGCTGGTATCATAAAACTCGCCAACCATTTACACGCCAAATGTTCTTTCTTTGTACGTGCCGTTGGCCGCTACAGATCGTTTTCTGTCAGGAGAGCAGCGGCATGAAGCGATTGAAAAATTAAAACAAATGACTTCTAGTAGTAATCAGAGTCAAAATGAAAACATTCAGAGTACATCATATACAAACAACACTAATAATAGTAAGTTTTCAAAATTACCTACCAATATATGTATATTATAATTATAATAATTTCTATAAGTGTAAGGTATTGCTATTGTTTTCTTCTAGGTGAATCAAAATTAATGAAATACTTCCACAAAAAATTAGGAAATTTGGAGGGAGAAGTGCGACACCGCAACTTTATGAAGTTAGCATTACTGATTCAAATAAAAATGAAAGTGACACAAGTTTTGAATTTGATATCAGTTCAACAAAGAGCGAACACAATCCACTGGAAAAACGATTGAGGAAGCTGAAGCACTATTACTGCGAGAGAAGAATATTTCTAATTGTCTTCGATTGCAGATACGGGCGAAGAGTAAAGGATTTAATCTTCCGGCTGTATTGATGATACATGCTTGAAGAAAGTAATTGCAAACAAAGTTTCGGGTTTTATTTTAACTTTTTTTTTAATGTTATTATTTCCGCCACTTAGATCGCGTTGTTAAAATCGCCGTGAGCAACAATTGTGCATGACCATGCATTATACTTCGCCAGCTTTGTATTATACATTAAATTATGCAACGTCTTGGGTTTTCATCTACCGGATCCTGTCACCATCATTCGGTGGTTCGGTAAAATGGACATTTGGCCTGGAATCTGCTCAAATTTATTTACTGCGTTCAAAATTAATCGAAATTGTGTTCTGTCTTTTGATGAAATGTTTATCAAAAAGTGTCTGGATTACCACCCAAGCAAGCAAGTTATTAAAGGTTTCGAAGATCTTGGATTTGGGGTAGAAATTTAGCCGTGGGTTCACAAGTGCTTGTTTTTATGCTATGCGGGATGTTTACTAATTGGAAACAACCATTGGCTTTCTTTGTATCTGGATCTGGTGTAAAGAAAACAGATTTGTCTGTTATTTTGAATAAAATTTTAGATTCACTGTATGAGACTGGCTTGAAAGTGAGAGTAGTTGTTTCCGATCAGGGATCCAGTAATCAGAGTGTCGCAAATGACTTAGTTACTATTGAAAAGCCATATTTTGAACGAAATGGCCAAAAAGTTTATTTCCTTTTCGATTATTTACACATCTTTTTAAAAGTATTAGAAATAATTTAATGAAAAATAATTTTATGATCAATGGTTTTTGGGTTTCATGGTCCGATGTTGTAGCTCTTTGGAAATGGAGAAAGATAAAAGCACGCGCGCAGCTTACAAGTTATCCGAAAAGCATATTCGTCCAAATTCTTTTGATAAAGTGAAATGTAAGCTTACACTTAAAATTTTTAGCCAACGCGTGTTATCTGCCATGCTTACCGCTTCTCAAACACATTGTATAGAAACAAGCACTGTACAAAACACAGCTGTTTTTTTCGAAACTGTCAATAATTTATTTGATAATTTAAATAGTAGATGTGCTAGTGATCCCAATCCGAATAAATGCGCGCTCTCCGACTGTCACTGTAATGTTGAAGAAAATTTAATAACACAGTTATTCATTTTATAATATAATTTTAATAATATTATAAATATATTATAAATAAATTTAATACTACCGAATAAAAATGTATTTATTTGAAATAAGTATTTATATTTTTATTCGCATAAAACCTTATTCAACAAAAAATTTCGATGCGTTATTTACGAAAGAAATTTTGAATACAATTGTATTTAACATTTTTTTGTTATGTCAATGCCACACCGAGAGACAAAAGTATGTATGAAAGCACCTGTACAGTATTATGTTTGGTTTAAGTGTACACGCGTAATTATTTCTGTAATTATTGAATATGCAAATATATGTTTCATATGAACGTTGTTTGATTTCATGGAATAAACTTAATAGAATATTTTAATTTTTTTTAATTGTTATTTACAGAGACTTTAACAATAATGTAACTTTTTTAAAGGAACTACATATGTTTAGTATTATCATATTATTGAGCATTTCAATTCAAATTGAACGACATATTTGAAAGTTTTGTTTGAGTAATAATTTTTCGGATAACTGTACGAATGTTGCTCGCAAATGTCAAGTTCGGATAGCATCTTTTTTTTTTTTTCATACAGTTATCTGAGAAATGATTACTCCAACAGAACTTTCAAATGTGTCTTTGAATTCATTTTAAAATCGTTCATAACACGACATTAATAAAAATATATAGTTCCGTTTAAAAATATTATATTGTTATTAAAATCTCTGTAAATAACAATAAAAAAATTCAAACATTCTATTAAGTTTGCTCCATTAAATAAAACAACTTTTATATAAACCATTTTTTCGTATTCGTAATAGTTAGATTAATATAATAGCATGTATACATTTATACCGGGCCTACTTGTATACATTCTATACATATGTGTCAAACTGCCGTTCAGGCCAGGCGAGAAAACCAGAACGATCTTCCTTGCTAGCGAAACCGGGGCAATAAATATGTGTGTATCGCTATATGCAGTCACAAGTGTGTGTGTGCTGTGTGTCATCATGGTGTCCAAAGTAGTTCCTAAAGTCGGAAACTTTTATATAAAGTGCGTTCGAATCAGCGTGATTTTCGTGGGACATCAAGTCCCATAAGATGTTAGGTCTATTCTTATATCTCGTCTGTGATAAAACCAATTTCAATTGATACGATAGATTGTGACACGGAATAGTAGAGGGCTCTGCTGACGTGAAATTGTATGGTTCTGATATATGCTAATGTGGACCAGGGGGGCAGAACTTGCCCGGGAACACCGAAACCGAAACCCCGGGCATTAGCACTCTCATTTCCTCTCTGGTACTATCTCCACTACAGCTAGTGATGGGTACCATCGACTAAATTAAACTATCGACTAATGATTATTTAGTCGCAACATACTGTCGACTATTTAGTCGATAGTTTTTAGTCGACTGAAATTTTGCTTTATAGGTTATGTATAGATATGTCATCAACTTTTCAGCACTATTGGTGTATTTACCTTTTGGAAATGTATTAGTTCATAGATAGAATTTCAAAAATATAAGTGGTAAACAAGTTTTTTTAAACAATTACTAATATTCGATTTTTTGTAAGCTATTTAATATTGGCACTTAAAAAATTAACTGCTTTAAATTTTTTATGAAACTCAATTAGGTTATAAGCAATAATTTGCACAGTTCTTGGTAATGCATAAAAAAATATATGGAAAAATTACAATTCGTTTGCATCGCGAAGAAAATAATCAAGATCCAGTCAATAGCAATCAATAGCTCGGTTGTTCGTGCGTGTCGCTTGAAGCGACTAAATTTAATCGACTAAAGTAGTCGCTTGAAAGTAATCGCTTTAAGCGACTAATATTAGTCGCCTGAAAGTAGTCGCTTCAAACGACTAATATTAATCGCCTGAAAGTAATCGCTTGAAACGACTAATATTAGTCGCTTGAAAGTAGTCGCTCCAAGCGACTAATATTATTCGCCTGAAGTTAGTCGCTTCAAGCGACTAAAGTAGTCGACGATTGAAAAAATTAGTCGACTGAAAGTAGTCGTTGGTTATTATCGACTTAGTCGATAGTTTTTAGTCGATGGTGCCCATCACTAACTACAGCCGTAGGAGAATCCCCCACCAACAGCCTCATTAGAAAGAGAAGAAAGTTACTCCAGTTAGTGTCCTCTCTTTCCAGTGCCGACTTCATTCCTACCATAAGACGTCTATTATGTATGTCTATCAGAGTGCCCTCTGCCGTAAACGTGTGTAATTCAGCACTAATATGTGCTTTATTTATTTACTATCGAAAATAAACTTTCCTGCAGTATAATTTATTAGTGGAAAGTATATCAGTTGTTTTTCGTATTGTAATTATTAATTCCCCTGCAAAGGTAAGAAGAAGTACAAATTTTGTAATGCCTTTAATTTGTATGCAGATAAAAATTTGAAAAATTTGTCGTGTTAAACAATATTTAGTTTCCTGCTTATAGTTATACTAATGTTCCGATAATATAAATAAATTGATTTCATCTGTTTACCACTTTTGTTGTAATTTTCTTTATGTCTTTGCTGGTCTGGAACCCTACTTATTTTTGTTTATAAATAACTTACCCAAAGTAGATGCAATTGTAGTTTCACAACTTATTCTCATGTATCCATTATCATGAAACCACATTTTATATGTCAATAGCAATTTACAGATGTAACACTATAGAATTGAAATAATTGTAGTATTAAAACAATAATATATTATATTGTATAAGATATACAATTGTCTGGTTTATATTTTAAATATTACGAAAGGAAATTGTAACTGTTAACAGCTATGTCTAATGAAGAGCGTTTGAGGAAGCTTCTATCAGATTTAGGTAAAGCTACATTACGGGGAGTTCGTAAGTGTCCAAAATGTGGCACGTACAATGGATCCCGTGGTTTGTGTTGTAAAAATAAATACTGCGATGCAGTATTTAAAGAACCTGGTGAAAGAAGGAAATTATCTACGGAAGCATGTAAGCTGATTACAGGGACAACTGCTCAAGTTTTTTCTGTTCGAGTGCGTGATAAAGGTCCTGATTATCGTGGATTTGTTCAGTTACCATTAATAAATGCAACAATTTCCAATGAAATGACAACACTTATTTCACAATCTACAGCACTATGTTTTGTTGATAGTTGTGAACGAAGTTTTGATACCAGTGTCCTCAAGTGTCATGTAAGTCTTATAATATACATTTTCTGTAATAAAATATATTTATAAAATTACCTTCTGATAAAAAAAATGTACTGATTGATATTACAGGAAAAGAATCCATCTGACATGCTTGTTTCTACATGTCAACACATACAGGCAGCTTTAAGATGTTATGCAGAAGCACAACCATTAACATTAAGGAATTCTATTTTATCAACTTTAAATGTAAATAATGAAATGAAACAAGAGATATGGTTACTAGCTACAGAAACATCAGGACCTTTAGTACAACGTGTATCTAAAAATATCATGGCTGTAAAGTGTAAAGCTTCACCAAAACATCCATTGGGTTACCTTCATTTTTCTCTCTTTAGTACGAAATTGAAAGATAGAATTGAGCATCGTTATGTTTGTTCTTGTTCTGCTTTTAAGGTAAGTAGAAGAAACAAGCAAAATTGTATTATTATACTTTACAACAATTATTCAAATGGTTGTCAATAAAGATATTAAAAATTAATAGGGTGTGATGAAAACAACTGAGGAGAACATGGATTTAGGACAATCTTCACACAATCAACATTGTGTACATTTTTATGCATGTATATGTGCATTTGCTAGCGATGAAAAGTTATCAGAAGAGTTTAGTTATTATATAAATTTCGATCAGACTGATTTAAGTATACCAAAACCATTGACAACAATGTTACAAAGTAATGAACAGGAAAAAATAATTGGAATTGGTAAGAGGTTTAGATATAATCAAATTTCAAGTACAATATAAGATGTATTTACACTAACCAAAATTGTAGATCTCGATGGATTAACTACTGATGATACAGATACACATCTTCTAATATTTCGAGATGATACTTTAACAGTACAGAGTTTAGATGGAAATAGATTGGACTTAGATTCAATGAATTTGGATTCTACAATCTTACCACATAGTATTGTTGAAAATATTGAAGTAGAGTGTGACCGTACACTATTAGAAAATAATAATTTAATATCACAGGTAAGAATTTTGTATCTGATTAGTTAAATATAATGTTGCTTAAAAGGTGGAATACAAGAACTAATTTCGAAATCATCAGGTACACAATTTAGAAGTAATTCATCAAAACAATGTGCAACTTGGAGGAAGCACAGTCAAAATATTGGAGGATCAGACAGCTATAGATTCAAAATATAATGTGCTTAATAACAGTCAGTACATCCTAAATGATAATAATATAAAGATATTGAATACTGGAACTTTGAAAGTTCTCGATACAACTGCAATTTTGGATGTGAATAATATGAAATTAATTGATACTACTGTTTCAAACACCACTGGTGTGAAAGTATTAAATAAGAACGTACTGATACAGTATGATGCTGGAAATATCTCAAATACAGAAGGTGGTAGTTTACAGCAACCTTTTTCAACAAAGCGTAAAAGGGATGATAAACCAACAAGTACAAATGCCACGAGTTTGAATAATTTAAATTCTATCGAACCACGAAAAGCAAAAACAAAATCACAAATTGTTAAAAAATATCACAATCCTTGTGAAGATTTAGACGAAGCCAACATAAATTTACCTTTCATTAAATGGTTAGCATCTATAACTGAAAGAATAAACCAAACCATGCACTTTCAATTTGACGGAAAACCCGATCCTCTAGTATTTCATGTACCACAAATATTTTTTGATTGCTTACGTGAAAGGATATCTTGCGGTGGTAAAAAGAAACGATTACCAAATTCAACGACTGCGTTCGTCAGAAAAGATGGTGTACCGTTAGGTACATTTACAAAATATACCTGGCAAATTACTAATATTCTACACGTCAAGAGTATTTTCGAAACATCGCTTATTCCTTTAGAAATAACAAGAAGTTTTGTACAAAATGCAGATGGTACATATGAGTTGTACAAACGGGAAGAAACGGAAATTGATCGATACAAAAAAACTAACAACAATGCATTGATTAAGCCTTTAGAATTAAAAACGTATTTAAAAGTTGGTAAGAACTGCATACATATAATGAAATATTATTTCACAAATTTATATGAATGAAATGTATTTATTTATAAGTATAATAACTTTGTTGCTTTATTGTACAGGTAATACATCTCCAAATCAAGTTGAACCAACGCCATTTTTGATAGAGTGGATACCGGATATCTTACCAATATCAAAAATTGGTGAACTTAGAATTAGATTTGAATTTGGTCATGTAAAAAATGAAACAAGTCACAGATGGAGGAAAGTAGCCTTGTTAAAAAACTGTTAAATGAATACTTTAATAATTGTTTTTGTATTATCAAATATTCACTTTCCTGTTATTAACGATTGCGTAGGATTTAATATGTTTTAAGAACAATTTTTCATTAAAATGGAAAAAACTAATAGTTTCATATGTTGTTTACTATATTTCATATACTGAACAATTCAGTTTGCACATTTCTGTTCCACAAATGACAAGACACAATGCTTTAAACTTTAGAAAAAAGTTTGTGTTTTAAAGGTATATTGCTTTCGATTGGGAACAATTTTTAAATTGTTTTTAAAGAATTACAGACTGACCTATCTTTATGGCATATTCTTTTTTTTATAAAACAATTTCGAAAAAACAAGTTACACAAATGCTCATATTGGTTAAGATTACAAGACCAGTATCTTTTGTTCATTATTTAAACTTATGTAATATTTTATTAAATTAATTTATTGAATGTGAATGTAGCAAGAATTATGTTAATATTCTTGTACTAAAAAATATTATTACTGTATAAGAATGTGATATATTGTAAATATATACTTTAAATTAGATACTGTTGTGTAAAATTAAAAGCATATTTGTATTATACAGTAAAACTTGATTTGGTCTATGACCTTTAAAATAAATTATGTATCTAAACAAATTGTTGTAATTTCTTTTACGAGTATGTTGTTTAAATATTTAAAAATTTAATACACTGTAAAGTATAAATTTGTCATAACAAAACAATCTCTGTACTTTTAAATATGGTCAACTTTAAAATGTGAATGTACAAGAATAATTTATGTAATGCAATATGGAAAATTAAAACACATATTTTTTAGTTTTGTCTTTATACACAGCCTCATAATTAATATGTAAAAGTAACATGAACATGAATTGTCATTATTGAATATAATTTTATTCTTTTACATTTCTATATGTAATGATGAAAATTATCAATTAATTTTGAGTAAAACTGTTAATTTTATTACATATAGTATTGAATTTAGAACTTCGCAGTCGCGCCTTAATTTTAAGAAAGTTTGATCAATTTATACATGACTCACACGATTATCTATTTCTCGATCTATTAAATTTCTTCTTCCACAATTGTCATTCCGATATTTTAATGTTCTATGATATACTAATATTTAATTGTGTTTTGGCAGTATTTATCAAGTTTTTTGTCTGAAATCATGTATTGTAACATGATGGTATTCATAACCTCCATATTCAGACGGACTGTTACATAAAATAAATATGTGTAAATGAAATTATTGTTCTAATCTAGCAAAACTTTATCTGCAAACTTTCGATTTTTTGAGATAACTATGACTAGCTTTAAGTACTAATGCTATTATTCATGATTAGTTCATGCATTGTTTTGAGCTAAGTTTCAAACGGAAGTGTTGCTCTTCCGGAAACTGTCTCTGACGTAGAGAGCTAAAGAAGCGTATACTTCCATTTTCTCGACCCTCTCGGCGAACAGAGAGCACGTGTTTGCTTGCCGGTCGTGTTTGGTTCATTTTATCATATAAAACTTTGTGTTCGACTTGTAATCCGCCCGAGCGTGGTGATCAAGAATCAAAACTTTCTGACAGTCATAGAGACAGGTTAACATGAATCCTGAAAAGTTGAAGAAGCTTCAAGCTCAAGTACGAATCGGCGGTAAGGGAACACCCCGACGCAAGAAGAAGGTATGTAAATATATTTCGAATGTTATCGTGAATGTACCGAATGTACATACACCGATTCTGATGCATCGTTAGTTCTTGAGTTGACGAAAATGCGTGTTTCAAATGTCATTTGAACGACTCATGATTTTACTTATACCCGAAAAAGTTTCCCTTGATTCCGCTACACCGATTACCATTCTTACATGACATTAAAATTTTTCCGTCGTATCCCGTAAGACACTTTATTATTACGTTTGCAAATTATACACATGTGTTCTATGTTCATGACGCTGGTTTTATAATCATTGTCTTTCATTTTTTACATGTTAATTACATACCTCTCGTTTTAGCGTTTCCTCGTGTACGTAACTTGAGTTTTTAATTTTGATTGAAAATTTGGTTAATAAGTTCATTTTGTTAAACTGTTAACCTTGTAATATTCACGATTATAATACAAATCAATGTTTCCTATTTTTTTAATTGAGTCTTGAATCAAAATATAATAATTCGTAAGAAAGAAAATTTAATTAGTAAAGTAATTTGTTCCTTGTTCTATAAATCATTTTTTATGACATTCCCACTTACGTGTGTTCAATATATTTTTAGGTCGTGCATGCTACTAATGCCACAGATGATAAAAAATTACAAGGTTGCCTGAAGAAACTGTCTGTAAACACAGTTCCTGGTATTGAGGAGGTTAATATGATTAAGGATGATGGTACTGTCATCCATTTTAATAATCCAAAGGCCCAGGCTAGTTTGTCTGCCAATACATTTGCCATTACTGGTCACGGTGATAACAAACAGATAACTGACATGCTACCAGGAATAATAAGCCAATTGGGACCCCAGGGTGTTACACAACTGAAACGATTAGCGAGTACAGTTTCTGGTAGCACAGTGGGTAAAGCAACATTGGAAGAAGATGACGAGGTGCCTGATTTAGTGGAGAATTTTGATGAAGCCAGTAAAGAAGAGGTAAGAACCAGTATAAATGATTCAGATCAGTGCTGGGCAGTGTAGGGGCACCTTATGCGTCTGTTTCCCCTTCCAATCTTTTTTTCGCACTGTGTGCCTTCGTAGAAACAAAGAAGCTGAGACTCTTGTCTCTGTCATTCCATGGTAACAGTGGATGGTGGTATGGACAAGTTTTAGTTCCTGGGAGCCAACTTTGCCCACTGCTGATTTAGATTATATCTGTTCCATGTTTTGAAAGTCGCATACATACAATGTAATTGGTTAGAAATTCAACACATAGTAAGTTTAATCTTGCTAAGAGTTGTGATCTTAGTTTTTGTTATCAAATAAGGATTACTTTAAGTATATTAATATGCTTATAAGGTTATTTTATTACAATATCTGTAAGGTTTGGTATATACATGTGCATAAAGATGCATAGTATAGTAGAAGATGATTTGTTTTCTTTTCTAATCAAAACACATGTCAAATAAATATTGTGGAATTACAGACATATTTTTTATTACTGGTTGTATCTTTATTGTTCTCAAGAAATTTTTTTGTATTAATGATTTTAATATTTCTGTAGATATCTTTTTTACATTTTACTTGCATCCTGTTATTTGTAAAATTATTGTAGCTAGTAAAGTTTGTACAAAGTTATTTATGATTAAAATATGTACATGTAATACATAAACTTTAAGGTTGCTACAAAAAAGGAAGTGGATGAAAGTGATAAAGGAGCTGGTGATAAAAAAGAAGCTGTTACGAATGATGAAAAGAAGGAAGCCCCCTTAGCTACACCTGAAGCTTGAAGCATTCAGTATCAAGGTAACTTTACAATGTGAATCCACTTAATCGAAACTCTGTTGTTTAAACGAGAAAAATAAATTATTTCTTTCTGTTTTTACTTTTGCAGCTATTTCATACAACTAACAGTTGTAATTGACAAGTTGAAAAATACAATTTGCAAAAGCAATGCGTAAACAAAGTATCACTATGCATACGTTATAAATATTTGTCATACCCTATGATAATGCTATATAAGTAACAGTTATCAAGAAAATAAAAAAGCTGTTACAGAAATCAAAAATTTTTATGGACGATGTTCTTTTCTTTGTTGCATTTGCGGAATGGTAGACTGTGCTTTGAGTCAGCTAAAAAAATCTTATTTTTCCCAAGTTAAGATTGTGTGACATTGATCATGTATCAGGTCCAGTATTTGAATTTTAAGCATTTAATTCGATTATTTTCACACGAGATCTGATGTGGAATTACAAATTTTATCCCGATCTTATTCATAGTACATATTTTTCATTATCACGTTGAGTCTGCATGTGTTCTTACTTTGACGGTATTAATGACATTATAGAAATATGAGTTAATAAAAAAATGAATTTCTCAGCAAACAATAATAGCAATCTTCCATCTATTCGCAGCAGTGTTATACATATAGAAGGACAAAATTTACATAGAGTATAGAAAAAGTAAAAAAGCGCGAAATACCGAGGCACCTCTATTTTAATTAATGAAATTACCAGTGGCTACAGTTAAGAGTAGTTTTTCGTAGGAGCTTTCCAGCATGGAAAATGAGGTGTAATATTTTGTAATGTAATCTGTGGAATAAATTCATTTGCTGGAAATGCGGTTTTCTACTGAAAATTTCATGTTTTTCTAATACAATTTAGTCGTAATTTGTCAATATTTATATTTTCATCTATAGAATAGATCTGTAATAACAGTGTAATTATGGAAATATACTAATAAGAGCTACCCTGTACAATAGTACCAGTTTTTCAGCATTTTCCATTCATAATTTTTCATGTACTTCCTCGTCTGAAAATAATTACGTTCATAGTTCTTTTCACTACACAAAATGGTCATACATCAAGTGAATGTAATGAATAAGGTATTGGTACAAATGTAATGTAGTTGGTACAAACCCTCCGTATCATTTTGATTATAAGATTTTTTATTAAAGTGTTCCCTATTTTACAGTTCAGTTATAATAAAATCTGATATACTGTATAAAATTATGCCACATAGCGATATCAAAATACACGATAACAAGTACACTGACGTGCAAACTCGCCTTCCTCTACGGGAAAAAGTGGCGTAAGAGAAAGGCCTCCTAACACTTGGTAACTTGATTTTAGGTACTAAAATAAATATTAAATCGAATGTTAATTTGACATATATTTCAATAATTCTTGATACCAAATAGCAGGAGGTCCTTCCCTACGTCATTTTTGTCCCTAGTGGAAGCTGAGTTTGCTTCTAAGTGTACAAGACAACCGAGCAGTACTTGGTCTTACGAGGTGATTCCTTTATTCACTTGAACCCATTTAGGAGCTAGGCCATCTAAGTTTTAGTTAGCATTGGATCACAAATACTGTGGAGTATTAATATTGTAATTAAATGTATCAAGAGAACACTGGCCAAAACTATTTCAAAATTGACTCAATCTTCTAAGTCTCATAGCTTTGCTACTATTCATCCAAAGTTGATGAAACAAAAACCATTTTAAGGGTTGAACTTTTTAGTTTTTGGTTCTTTAAACCAATTTTATCAAAATGGTTGTCTAGAGGGTAAAATTCACCCTTAAATAGGAGTGTGTCAAACTTGTACTTTTCCTTGATGTTCGTCAAGTGGTACGGAGAGCAAACAATTTTTTTTTGCAATTTTGATATATACCTCCGGAAAGTATGATCATCTGTCTTTAAAATAAAGCAAACCTCATCGAAGAACGATCTTGTTTCACAAAGATATGGCCCTTTAAAGGAAACCTATATTTTACAAATCTTTTGTGCACGGTAAGATACGTATACAGGGTGTCTCAAAAATGTCTCTCTTCCCGGAAATGAGGGGTTCCTAGGATAATTTGAAACAACTTTTTCCTCAGCGAAAATTTATCCTAGGCTTTGTTAACGAGATATTAACGAAAAACCCCGACCAATAAGAGCGCGAGTTTGCCAGCAAAGTTCCCGCACTAGCGGTGGCTACGCGCTACGATTGTACACCCACGAGCAAAGTCGGCTCCCGTTGGGGGAAAAGCCCCACACCACTTGATCACAGAAGTCACTGAAACTCATGCCACACTTACAGAAAAGAACCGCATTCAGTTTAACATTTATTTCAGTACTCGACAAGCAACCAAATTTGCGCGTTTGAACGTTTGAGGGTAAAAGCGATGTATTTTATTGCCAGTGAAATGAGTAATAAACACAATTGGTCACCAGTCTGTCAACAGCCAGCGTGTATCGGTGATTGTTCAGTGGCGCCATCGTCGCCCATTGAACGATTGGCGAAACAATCTCCCCCACTATAGCAACAACGTAGGGAAGTCGACTCTGCTCGACTGCGCGGAAACCGTCACATAAGTCTGTCCTTTTTGCACTTGCGGTTGTACTCTTTTACGGCACCTTCTCGTCTTAACAATGTTTAAGGGTCCCTGGTTTCGGTCGGCAGGATACAAATTACGGTAAATGGGATACCACATGAACCGTATACCAAATTATTTATTGATCTAATAAATATTTTACAGTTTGAAAATTAATTTCGTTTCCTAAACTGGTTAGTATTTTCATCAGTACCCCAAAATGCATTTCAGTTTAACGGGGGAGACTCCGTGGCCCGTGTGCTGTGTCCGTGCACTCACACAATCAACGGGAACCGTGTATGTATACGCGATGCACGAGAGAGACATTCGATTTCGTAGAATCCAACTTCTGCCTCGATAATGGCACAAATGAAGTTTTCACGGGTATAGTACTCACGGGTAGACTTCACTACAGGGTGGTCTGGTCCTTAGAAACGCGAATAAACACCATACGTTTAAAGAATTAGAATTTTAGAAATTGTGCGATTATGACAGACGCCGATGAAGCACACAAGATGGCTGCTCAAGTCACATTTTGTCAAATATCACACGATTTAGTTGTTTTCTCGTCAAAAGCTGACCAGACCACCCTGTACACCACTGTCACACTATCGTAGAAATCCGATTTTTGTTAATTTATCACTTGTGGAAGGCGTAAGTTGGATTCTACGATTTGACGCGTCCAGACTCGGGAATATACAGTGGTATAGTTCAAGGATTCTCCACTAGCGGCGCTTATGGTATTTGTCAGTCACTTTGGCCATGTTACCACCGAGCATCGATAAAACAGAGAGACGTCGGTATATGTAACCTCGCAACACGTGCTGGATCGTATCAATTGTTTTGTTACGCTGTTGCCACGATGGAATACCTACGGCTCGTGGCGAGATTTCGACTTCTCACCGAACATAGGAAAAGAATGGTGCGACTGAAAGAGATTCGAGAATGAAGCAATACTTACGTACTAATGTGTGCAACGATAAACCTTTTCTATTTGTACTTGCAATGATGCTAATTTTTTTTATTACATACGAAATACTTGAAATGGCATTCCCGAGAAACAATAGTTATTTATCATTTATTGACCTAATTAATGCAGATGTTATATACTTACACATATATTTCATAAAAAGATGCAAAAAGAATACAATTAATCGCAACCGCTCCCTCAATCTTTTCATTTGTCGACCAGCGGAAATAGATTTTGAACTAACAACGAATTTTCGACTTTCTTGTATACAGGGTGTCCCAAAAATGTCCTCCGACCCGGAAATGGGGCACTCGGGGGGTGAATTGGAACAACATTTTCCTTAGCAACAATGTAAACTGAGGCTTCGTTAGTCGAGATATTAACGAAAAACCGCGACCAATCAGAGCGCGAGTTTGCCAGCCGAGTTCCCGCGCTATCGGTGGCTACGCGCTACGCTTGTACTACGAAGCTCCGAACAAGTAGGTCACCATGCATCGCAGGAAACCGCGTATAATAATAGCAAATAAACAAGACGTAACAAATAAAATCATACTTTTTATCATCTGTCGTTTGTTATTTAAAGAGATTAATGAATGAAACGTAAATGTAGGCAAATTATGTGTAACGTAAAAAGACGAATGCACATTTACATTTTTGTAAATTCCTTTTTACGAATTTGTAAATTTCCTTTTCAAATAACGTGTGAACGAAAAGGTAATGTAACAGAGAATAAACGAGAAGTGATCGTAATTTGGTATTGGTATAAAAATTCGTAGTTTAATAACTGTCAACAATGTTACTGATAATGAATAAGTTTCTTCAAAAAGCCCGAAGAAAAAGTTAGGTACAGAAACTTGCAGAATTATCGCCGGAAATAAGCCATAGCTTGCATTAAATTAAGAAAATAATAATCAGCAATAAATTGATTAGAACTCACCGTTTCGGAAATTCACCTGCAGTTTGCAAATCTGTGTCACTAGGTCATTGAACCGATCCTGGTCATCGACAGCCGAAACGGTTTATGGCAGTGTATCGCCCAGTTCGCAGGTGATCGCAGGTATACCTCACCAGCCGAAGTTAAGGGTTGAAACGTCAAGTGCGTCCTGGGTATTCCACCGAATACGTACTCACTTCACTGCACGACCACTAACACTGATCACCCGACACAATCACTTAATGTATTTTTAATCGAACGTCTTGTTCCTACGTTAGGAAAATTGGTGGCTCCGAAACGGGCCGATTATTTTCAATTTATCAGATGTTTTACTTAGCCAAACGCTTGCACAGTAGCAGCCGCATATCTGTCATTCTGTGCGTACCACCAGAACATTTCGTAATACTCCCGTGAACTGATCATCTCTGTCGCCCGATTGCTAACCGACTGACAGCATTTTTCGGAAAGGGCTTCCTCTACCCCCAAGTAGTTTCTTATCGTTACATTGTGAGTTCACTCCCACCGGTCCAACAAGATTTAGGTAAAAAGAAACCAGAGTTCTAGGAAAAGACGTTGTGACGGGGGAAATTTGAAACCGCACAAAAAAAAATGAACAAACTCACTACTAACTTCTCAGTTCTATGGTTTACTTGATTTCAGATTATAGGAACAGCAGTTCCCGGAAATATGTAAAGTTTGTCTGCACTCGTCTCGATACGAATCGAAGTGATTGTCGATCGCACGCAGTATCGCAATTTGGATTCGAAGAGAGATTAGGAGAGAAATAAATGATGTGTGTCTGGTTATGGTTGAGACTGAACTGTTTCTTTATTCAGAAGAAATATCCGGGCTTTACAGAGTCGCAAAAAGAAGAAGCGCTTATCGGAGTGCTGAGATTGCAAAAGACGCGGCGGTCGCGTGAGAACGCGGAGCCTGTCCAAGGCGTCACACCCCCCTCCTTAGAGTGAATTTGGTCCTCTAAATGCTATTCATTGTTGTCTAATTTAAATCGCAATTTCTGAGGTCGGAATCGATACGCCGGTCACCCCCTCTTCACTACTCCGCCAGCTGCTCTCCGACGCCGGCACTACCGGGCCGCTTTGGATGCAGCCGGGGACCCCACCCCAACTGCATCAGCGGCCCCGGCGGACGCGCGCGCGAAGGCGGGAGCCACAGGAGCCGAAGCTCCGGCTCCCGATGTCCACGCACGCGTCTGCCCATACACGCAGGCCTCGCCTGCCG